GTGTTGATATTGGTCAGTGTTGATATTGGTCAGTGATGATATTGGTCAGTGATGATATTGGTCAGTGATGATATTGGTCGTGATGATATTGGTCAGTGATGATATTGGTCGTGATGATATTGGTCAGTGATGATATTGGTCAGTGTTGATATTGGTCGTGATGATATTGGTCAGTGTGATATTGGTCAGTGATGATATTGGTCAGTGATGATATTGGTCAGTGATGATATTGGTCAGTGTTGATATTGGTCAGTGTTGATATTGGTCAGTGATAATATTGGTCAGTGTTGATATTGGTCAGTGTTGATATTGGTCATGATAATATTGGTCAGTGTTGATATTGGTCAGTGTTGATATTGGTCAGTGATAATATTGGTCAGTGTTGATATTGGTCAGTGTTGATATTGGTCAGTGATGATATTGGTCAGTGTTGATATTGGTCAGTGATAATAATTGGTCAGTGTTGATATTGGTCAGTGATAATATTGGTCAGTGTTGATATTGGTCAGTGTTGATATTGGTCAGTGTTGATATTGGCAGTGAGATATTGGTCAGTGTTGATATTGGTCAGTGATAATATTGGTCAGTGTTGATATTGGTCAGTGTTGATATTGGTCAGTGATGATATTGGTCAGTGTTGATATTGGTCAGTGATAATATTGGTCAGTGTTGATATTGGTCAGTGATAATATTGGTCAGTGTTGATATTGGTCAGTGTTGATATTGGTCAGTGTTGATATTGGTCAGTGATGATATTGGTCAGTGTTGATATTGGTCAGTGATAATATTGGTCAGTGTTGATATTGGTCAGTGTTGATATTGGTCAGTGATGATATTGGTCAGTGTTGATATTGGTCAGTGATGAATTGGTCAGTGTTGATATTGGTCATGTTGATATTGGTCAGTGTTGATATTGGTCAGTGTTGATATTGGTCAGTGTTGATATTGGTCAGTGTTGATATTGGTCAGTGTTGATATTGGTCAGTGTTGATATTGGTCAGTGATGATATTGGTCAGTGATGATATTGGTCAGTGTTGATATTGGTCAGTGATGATATTGGTCAGTGATGATATTGGTCAGTGATGATATTGGTCAGTGTTGATATTGGTCAGTGTTGATATTGGTCAGTGATGATATTGGTCAGTGATGATATTGGTCAGTGTTGATATTGGTCAGTGATGATATTGGTCAGTGATGATATTGGTCAGTGATGATATTGGTCTGTTGATATTGGTCAGTGATGTATATTGGTCAGTGTTGATATTGGTCAGTGTTGATATTGGTCAGTGATGATATTGGTCAGTGATGATATTGGTCAGTGGTGATATTGGTCAGTGGTGATATTGGTCAGGTGTTGATATTGGTCAGTGTTGATATTGGTCAGTGTTGATATTGGTCAGTGATGATATTGGTCAGTGATGATATTGGTCAGTGATGATATTGGTCAGTGATGATATTGGTCAGTGATGATATTGTCAGTGATGATATTGGTCAGTGATGATATTGGTCAGTGTTGATATTGGTCAGTGTGATATTGGTCAGTGTTGATATTGGTCAGTGATGATATTGGTCAGTGTTGATATGGTCAGTGTTGATATTGGTCAGTGATGATATTGGTCAGTGATGATATTGGTCAGTGGTGATATTGGTCAGTGGTGATATTGGTCAGTGTTGATATTGGTCAGTGTTGATATTGGTCAGTGTTGATATTGGTCAGTGATGATATTGGTCAGTGATGATATTGGTCAGTGATGATATTGGTCAGTGATGATATTGGTCAGTGATGATATTGGTCAGTGATTGATATTGGTCAGTGATGATATTGGTCAGTGTTGATATTGGTCAGTGATGATATTGGTCAGTGTGATATTGGTCAGTGATGATATTGGTCAGTGATGATATTGGTCAGTGATGATATTGGTCAGTGTTGATTTGGTCAGTGTTGATATTGGTCAGTGATGATATTGGTCAGTGATGATATTGGTCAGTGATGATATTGGTCAGTGATGATATTGGTCAGTGATGATATTGGTCAGTGATGATATTGGTCAGTGATGATATTGGTCAGTGATGATATTGGTCAGTGTGATATTGGTCAGTGTTGATATTGGTCAGTGATGATATTGGTCAGTGTTGATATTGGTCAGTGATGAATATGGTCAGTGTTGATATTGGTCAGTGATAATATTGGTCAGTTTGATATTGGTCAGTGTGATATTGGTCAGTGTTGATATTGGTCAGTGTTGATATTGGGTCAGTGATGATATATGGTCAGTGTTGATATTGGTCAGCTGATGATATTGGTCAGTGTTGATATTGTCAGTGTTGATATTGGTCAGTGTGATATTGGTCAGTGTTGATATTGGTCAGTGTTGATATTGGTCAGTGTTGATATTGGTCAGTGTTGATATTGTCAGTGTTGATATTGGTCAGTGTTGATATTGGTCAGTGTTGATATTGGTCAGTGTTGATATTGGTCAGTGATGATATTGGTCAGTGATGATATTGGTCAGTGTTGATATGGTCAGTGATTGATATTGGTCAGTGATGATATTGGTCAGTGTTGATATTGGTCAGTGTATATTGGTCAGTGTTGATATTGGTCAGTGTTGATATGGTCAGTGATAATATTGGTCAGTGATGATATTGGTCAGTGATGATATTGGTCAGTGTTGATATTGGTCAGTGTTGATATTGGTCAGTGTGATATTGGTCAGTGATGATATTGGTCAGTGATGATATTGGTCAGTGTTGATATTGGTCAGTGTTGATATTGGTCAGTGATGATATTGGTCAGTGTTGATATTGGTCATGTGTTGATATTGGTCAGTGTTGATATTGGTCAGTGTGATATTGGTCATGTGTTGATATTGGTCAGTGTTGATATTGGTCAGTGTTGATATTGGTCAGTGTGATATTGGTCAGTGTGATATTGGTCAGTGTTGATATTGGTCAGTGATGATATTGGTCAGTGGTGATATTGGTCAGTGATGATATTGGTCAGTGATGATATTGGTCAGTGTTGATATTGGTCAGTGTTGATATTGGTCAGTGTTGATATTGGTCAGTGATGATATTGGTCAGTGATGATATTGGTCAGTGATGATATTGGTCAGTGTTGATATTGGTCATGTGTGATATTGGTCAGTGTGATATTGGTCAGTGTTGATATTGGTCAGTGATGATATGGTCAGTGATTGCATGTTAATATTGGTCAGTGTTGATATTGGTCAGTGTTGATATTGGTCAGTGTTGATATTGGTCAGTGATGATTGATGACAACACAAGTTTTAATAAAAGTTTATGTTATGATGATCTTCTTGACAACCTTCAACAACAACAACAACAATAATAAACAGTAACAACAACAACAATAATAAACAAACAGTAACAACAATAAACAGCAACAACAACAATAATAATAAACAGTAACAACAACAACAACAATAAACAACAACAACAACAATAATAATAACAGTAACAACAACAACAACAACTAAACAACAATCAACAACAATTAATAACAAACAGTAAACAATAAACACACAACAACAACAATAATAATAAACAGTAAAACAACAACAACAATAAACAACAACAACAACATAATAATAAACAGACAACAACAACAATAATAAACAGCAACAACAACAAATAAAAACAAACAACAACAACGAAAAAAAATGTGTGGTTATTTTCCACCGCAAAATTCTTGACACTGTTAAAAAAACCCGGCACCGTTATTTTCACCGTGGAAATTGACTCCCCCCCGCCTCCCTAAACCCCCCGAATCCCCCCCAAACCCCCCCGAATCCCCCCCAAACCCCCCCGAATCCCCCCCCAAACCCCCCCGAATCCCCCCCAAAAAACCCCCCGAATTCCCCCCAAACCCCCCCGAATCCCCCCAAATTCCCCCAACCCCCCCCCCCAGAAAATTAATTAAATAGCTTTATATACGGCCATAAATGCGCCAAACCAGCCCCCGTTACACCCCCACCTCCCTCCCCCCCGAATCCCCCCCTCTCCCTGCATACCCCCCCTTTTCCCCCCGCACCCCCCCCCCCCCCTTCCCCCCCCACCCGCTGCCCGTACCCCCCTGGTACCCCCCCCGGCTGCCCGTACCCTCCCCCCCCAGGTACCCCGCTACCCTACTGGGGTTCATTGATAGATTCAGTACCTTCAAGTAATTTATTTATTAGGAATTACAAAACAGTTTATACAGACAGTTGTGTGTACATTGGCTGTAGTTGTGACTCAGGTCTTGACAGTGTCAAAGACAAGTCTAGTAGCAAGATATTGTGTCAGGAGAGTCAATAGAGGCTTTAGAAGTTTGTTATGACTTTGTACGAGTGAACGTAAGTCATAACAAACTCTCTAAAGTCTCTTAACTCTCCTGACACAATATTCTGCTACTAGACTTGTCTTTGACACTGTCAAGACCTAAGTCACTACTACAGTCAATATACACACAACAATAACTTTCATCAGAAAATATAGTCACGGCACCGTGACTGGAGCAAATAACTCGTACTTAAGCTACTTTTGACAACGTTTCGGTCTAAGACGAAACTATTTGCTCCAGTCACGGTGCCGTGACTTTACAAATACAGTAGTTTACAACACTGAATTTTTCACGTTTCTGTCGTTATGAATCGAAATTAACACTGTTTTTTCATGGCACAATATGATTTTTTTCACGATTCTTAGTGAAACGAGTTTTTTCAGCAACTCGGAGCCCTGAAATGAATGACACACGGGCTTTGACACACTTTTCGCACTTTTCACTCGCTGTGATGAATGGTTGATTGAAGACAGTACACAGTGTTCACGGCACCTGGAGCGTGAGGCATTGATGTGGAGACTCTCTGGAAGGGCTGCTGACCAGACTCCATCGCCGACTGGAGCGTCAGGCATTGATGTGGAGACTCTGGAAGGGCTGCTGACCAGACTCCATCGCCGACTGGAGCGTCAGCATTGATGTGGAGACCTGGAAGGCTGCTGACCAGACTCCATCGCCGACTGGAGCGTCAGGCATTGATGTGGAGACTCTGGAAGGGCTGCTGACCAGACTCCATCGCCGACTGGAGCGTCAGGCATTGATGTGGAGACTCTCTGGAACGGCTGCTGACCAGACTCCATCGCCGACTGGAGCCTCAGACATTGATGTGGAGACTCTCTCTGGAAGGGCTGCTGACCAGACTCCATCGCCGACTCGTGAAGGTCGCTGATCTGGCTACGTTATGGACGTGGTTAGGTCACTCTGCGCCACTGGAAGCCTGGATGCCACACGGAGTCACCCTGGGTGGAGATGGTGGAGTTCTCCAGACTTTGGTTGCTGAAGACTGGTTGGGATGAGAGCCAGTGTAGTGCCAGGACATGACCGTCTGTGCCACCTCTCTGAGCTCGTCCAGGAACTCCAGCTCTCCACACCTGAAACACAAATCAGTAGTATTATTATTACAATCAAAACTAGGCGTGGTAGGATTTTTTGGGGCAATACTGAAAACTTAGGAAATTTATCAACATTCGTAAGACTAAAGGGAATTTCTGAGGTCAAAATTTTCTCCCCCAAAAATAGCAACTGACATGGTAGAATTTTTTTGATAATTTCCTACTGATGCAAAAACTTTGTTAATAAACTTTTGATTGATAATGTAACTTATTTTCATGTTTATGGGAGTCAACAAATCACAAATAACAGAGAGAGACTTTGATAATTGCGTGAGAAGAAATATGTTTTATAGACGTAACAAATCACAGTGAAAATAGGAAATTAAACTTGAGCGTTTTCACGTGTTTATACACAAGAAAACTCAGGTTTTCCTGTTTTCACTGTTGTATTTTATACCTATTTGCAATCACGCGTTTTACTGTGATTTCTTCCATTTTTATGGATGTTAAACTTTACCTCATTATCTCCCTCTCATACCTCCCCGTCCTTGTTAAACTCTTCCCACACTCTCCTGTCAACCTTCTCTACTCCTAGTCCTCGCTCTCTCTAGAAACTAGCACCTCCCTCCCTCCCTCTTTCTCTCTCCCTCTCTTTCTCTCTCCCTCTCTCTCTCTCCCTCTCTCTCTCCTCTCTCTCTCCTGGCTGGAAGCTAGCACATCTCTCTCCTGGGTGCTAGAAACTAGCACCTCCTCCCTCTCTCCTGGCTGCTAGAAGCTAGCACCTCCCCCCTCTCTCTTTCTCCTGGCTGCTAGAAACTAGCCCCTCCTCTCTCTCTCCTGGCTGCTAGAAACTAGCACCTCCTCCCTCTCTCTCTCTCCCGGCTGCTAGAAACTAGCACCTCCTCCCTCTCTCCTGGCTGCTAGAAGCTAGCACCTCCCCCCCTCTCTCTCTCCTGGCTGCTAGAAACTAGCACCTCCTCCGCTCTGCTGTTCACAAAATCATCCACAACCTACTATACTTTCAACTTCAGAAGCTCTACTCTCCATTTTTTACCTACCTTCATCCTTGTAGATCATCCTGATCTTTACAGGAGAGAAACCGCCTTTTTCCTCCCTGTCTTTACATTCCCATTTTCTTCTCTAGACATTCTTCAGGTTTTCTATTCTCTCCTCAGACTACACTTACATTTACACACACAATCACTTTCACAATTTACAAAAAATCTCACTTCTGCACATTATATATCTATCTTTCAGAGGTCTATCACACCCTTGTCAACCATTACCTCCATTTGGTCTATCAGAACACTCTAATATTCACCCTTAAGCACTCTTAGCAACCTTCAACTCTGCTACTGGGACTTACCAGGGTGATCCTGGGAAGGAACCTTCCCCTCGGAGGTGTAGTTTCTTGTGTCGTGTCCAGCTGGTCCTTCTGATCTTCTTCCCACCATTCCTGGACTTTCACGATGGATACAGTACATTCTACACGTCTCTGAGTCTCCAGGCTGTTGGTGGCGGTGGCGGCATCCACCTCGAAGACGCCCACATCTGGAAGAAGAAAAGGATTAGTTTAGTGACATTCTTATGGAGGGAAAGAGACAGGAACGAGTGAGAAAAGTGTGTGTACCTGGAGGGTGTGAAAATGTCTACCTGGAGAGTATGAAAGTGTGTCTACCTGGAGGATGTTTCGGGGTCAACGCCCCCGCGATCCAGTCCTTGACCAGGCCTCCCGTTGTATCAGGTCCTGATCAACCAGGCTGCTTTTGCTGGCCACACGTAATCCAACGTACGAACCACAGACTGGTTGATCGGGTACTGACGTTATGTCTCTCTCCAGCTCCTTGAAGGCAGCCAGAGGTGGGATGAATATTATGCATTAAAGGGTAACTGAAGGAGGGATGAGAGAGACTTAAGGATAACACTTGTAACAGTTTTTGTAAAGATAAATGAACAGGATTCAACTCTCCTGTAGTGTCCTGTTTACTGATTTTAGACTGAACCCTCTTCTACTACGATTACCCATTACCAGCATCAGACAACTTTTACCTGAGGGGTTCTCGCCATCAGCAATGCCGCAGTGCAGGTTGAACCTCCTGTGGTGTTGGTGTAGCAGGAAGGCGCAGATCACACGCTAGAAAAAAAGTTAGGCCATATTACTCACATATTTCAGTGCATACATTAAACTTAAAGTTTACTCTTCCATAACTTACCAACAAATCAGAATTTCTTCAACTTAATCCTATGTTTTTAGTTGTATTAACAGTTTTAAACAATTATTTACAATCCCATCCTATACTATCCAATCCCCTATACAATCCCGACTCTATACTAACACTACTATCGTTTTACCCACATGTCACCTATGGTATGTGTCCCTGTTCCACCAGAGGCGTCTACTTTAAACCAATCTTGCAACAAAAATAAACTATTAGAACCACCACAGACTTGAATTATAGGCAGGACGTTATTACTATACTCAAAAGAAAGCGCTAAACTCACTAGGGTCATATAGGCAGAATAATTTGCCTTCAGATCCCTAGACCTGATAAATATGAATTTCATACTGCTAGTTACTGTAGCTTCGTAATGCTATTACTGACATAAGACAAATGGTAAACTAACGTAACACACTAAATCAATGTTATTTTGATATCCTTCTCAACCTTTATAGAAACTCAGCGGAAATACAAAAAAAATGTAATCGGAAGGAGGAATCAGCACCAAAAATATTAAAAAAATTTAATATCTTTGTAAATGAGAGGCAGTTAAGGTAAGGATAATTTTCTTTGATATCCACATCAGGACAGTTCAAGCCAAAGTCCTGAACCCGAGTGAAGAGAGACTGAAAGCGCAAGTCTGGATGCTGGTCCAGGATGCCTGGAAAGAACCACACTTGTGTTGGGTGTGAGATCTGGCGCTGCGGGGATCTTAGAGGTCATGGCCCTACCATCCCATTAATGGCGATTGATACTCGCCCATTAGTCTATCTACGAGGGCAATTTCCTTTCTAAGGGTCATAGGGGGGCCAGAAATTAATGCTCGACGAGATTAAACCATTGGTTTGTGTTTTATAATAAATATTACTCTCCATAGGAATAAAACTCTGTACTACGAATAAAAAACCAATACACATGGATTAAATAAAACAAGATAAATTACCTTTATTGAGGGATGTAACTTAGGCACTCTGTCTGCTGAAAAGGACCTCAGGGAGATAATTTTATTCATGGGGGAGCGTTAAACCTGTTGGGATTATACAGCACCTGTGGAAGAAAGGGGGGGGAAGGCATTAAGGGTCAATTTATGGAACTGGAGCACAGATCCAATTCCCTAGATCAAGAGCCCCTCACCAGCATCAAAGACCTCAGCGAGATGCCGATGGATTAAGTCTGTTTTATGTGGGAGAGAGACACAACCTACCTAGCATAGGCCTCTAGGCATACTGCATTTATACTTTTCAGAAGATTCTTTGCCTTTTACGGGCATTATAATCCAATATTGAGACAGGTTCACACATTCCATTGTATCGTTTAGAAATTGAATTTGCAGTTAGAAGTAACATCCATTAACCGAAATCAGTATCTCCATTAACCATTACTGACACTGTGACAATTTATAACTAAACACAACCACAACCACCACTAGATAATGCTCGGGAATTTGAAGGATAATTTACGTGGGGACTGTGTGTGGTGTTGAGGGGGGGGGGGGAGCCGGAGAAAAGTTGATGGTGCCTCGTGACTTGCTGTAGTGATGGTGGTAGTGATGGTGGTAGTGATGGTGGTAGTGATGGTGGTAGTGATGGTGGTAGTGATGGTGGTTGTTGTGGTGGTAGTGGTGGTGGTAGTGGTGGTGGTAGTGGTGGTGGTAGTGGTGGTGGTAGTGGTGGTGGTAGTGGTGGTGGTAGTGGTGGTGGTAGTGGTGGTGGTAGTGGTGGTGGTAGTGGTGGTGGTAGTGATGGTGGTAGTGGTGGTGGTAGTGGTGGTGGTAGTGGGTGGTGGTAGTGGTGGTGGTAGTGGTGGTGGTAGTGATGGTGGTTAGTGGTGGTGGTAGTGATGGTGGTAGTGGTGGTGGTAGTGGTGGTGGTAGTGGTGGTGGTAGTGTGGTGGTAGTGGTGGTGGTAGTGGTGGTGGTAGTGGATGGTGGTAGTGGTGGTGGTAGTGATGGTGGTAGTGATGGTGGTAGTGGTGGTGGTATGTGGGGATGATGGTGGTAGTGGTGGTGGTAGTGGGGATGGTGGTAGTGGTGGTGGTGGTGAGTGGTGTGTGGTGTGTGTGGTGGTAGTGATGGTGGTAGTGGTGGTGGTAGTGGTGGTGGTAGTGGTGGTGGTAGTGATGGTGGTAGTGGTGGTGGTAGTGGTGGTGGTAGTGGTGGTGGTAGTGGTGGTGGTAGTGGTGGTGGTAGTGGTGGTGGTAGTGGTGTGTGTGTGAGTGTAGTGTGTGGTATGTGGTGGTAGTGATGGTGGTAGTGATGGTGGTAGTGATGGTGGTAGTGATGGTGATAATGGTGGTAGTTGTAGTGGAGGGTGGTGGTGCGCTAAACCACAACGTAGACTCAGGTGCAACCTCTGGGTATCACTATTTGCAGATGTTTTGCCATCCAGTTGCTTTATCAATACAGATTCAAGGGCATAATGAGAAGACTGAAGACCTATATGCAAATGACGAGGTAATCAGTCCCTCAGCCTTGGAAAACAACGTGGTGTTGAATCCGAAGCGCAGACCGTGATGCAGACGACCTAGGGTGGATAGTTTAAGCCTACTGGATGAGGCCTATTAAAAATCGAAAGGTTAGAAAAAAAAATTAGGACACCATTTAAAGGTACCCCTTAAGAGGTAATGGACAATTAATGGTGATCCATTAACCAAAGATTACAGGAGCAGTCTTACCAACATTATACAGTGTTCCCGGGTAATAGCTGGTACCCCTAGGAACATGTAGGTGTGACCTGAGCTAATGTAACCTGTGAGGGGAGGGGGGTGAAAGTGAGAGGGGGGTATGTGGGGGTGTACTCACCTAATTGTGGTTGCAGGGGTCGAGTCATAGCTCCTTCCCCCTGGCTCGTGTATGCGTCAGTTCACGGCATCAAATTGAATTTAATTAAACCTGCTTTAAAAAGCTGTCTTAAACCTAACTACGACCTAATTCTTTGTGACTTACAATCCAACTCCCAACCCCCCTATATATATATATATATATATATATATATATATATAATATATTATATATATATATATATATATATATATATTTACACAGTGCTTAACAAGGTTGGGTTAAGGTTCCTAAGTTTATTTAAAAGCTCAGAGTTGTTACATCATCTCACTTAAAAGCTTTTTATTATGAGATATGTAACTAGGGAAAAGGATTAAGTTGGAGCCATCTGTGGGCCAGGAATTTTATTTCGTTGGTATCATTATGTTATACGAATGTGTTCGAAACTCGAGTCATTCTGGGAATAAATGATTTACGATGAAGTGAGGTTGTGAAGTTGATGCTGGCTGCCCGTCTTGTGGTCTAGAAGCTCACTTCTCGCTGTCCTCGGAGTGGAGCCAAGTGTGGTACCTTGACAGTATTGGTTTTGTACATAACACTAAGGCCACCCACATCCCTCCAGCGTTGAAGACTTTGCTGAAATGATGTATCTATCCAGACCGGGCCCAGGCCAGAGATGAGTCGTCTTACTCTGTTGTCTACTGTCTCAAGTCTCTCTCTCTCAGATTTATGCAAATGTGGGTCATGTATTTTTATAGCTGCATTAAATATATACATACTACATACATACATACACACACACACACACACACATATATATATATATATATATATATATATATATATATATATATATATATATATATATATATATATATATATATATAATGTGTGTGTGTGTGTAATTATTTACATAATTACAAATATGTTACCATCGCCAGAGGAACACTACCAACAGTTGCAACAATCATAACAGTAACAGCAGCAACAGAAACAATATAACAGTAACAGCAACACGGCAACAGTAAGAACAGCAACTATGACAAAATCGTTATCAGTGCGAGCAGCAACAGAAGAATTAACAGTAGAGGAAAACAGACACAGAAGCAACAGGATCCTCATTAACAGCAGCAGTAACTAAAAGTTCCACAGATTACAACGGAGATCCACCCCAACGCCATCTATTGCCAACGACTTATGGTCTTCGATACAAGCAAGCCAATATGTCTTAGTGATCGTATGGCCTTCCTTGAGAGTACTAGTGGAAGATAGTACTGTGTACTCACCTATTTGTACTCACCTATTTGTGGTTGCAGGGGTCGATTCACAGCTTCTGGCCCCGCCTCTTCGCTGATTGCTACTAGGTCCTCTCTCTCCCTGCCCCATGAGCTCTATCATACCTCGCCTTAAAACTATGTATGGTTCCTGCCTCCACTACATCACTTTCTAGGCTATTCCATGGCCTGACTACTCTATGACTGAAGAAATACTTCCTAACATCCCTTTGATTCATCTGAGTCTTCAACTTCCAATTGTGACCTCTTGTGTCTGTGTCCCATCTCTGGAACATCCCGTCTTTGTCCACCTCGTCTATTCTGCGCAGTATTCTATATGTCGTTATCATGTCTCCCCTGACCCTCCTGTCCTGTGTGTGTGTGTGTGTGTGTGTGTGTGTGTGTGTGTGTGTGTGTGTGTGTGTGTGTGTGTGTACTCGCTTAGTTGTGGTTGCAGGGGTCGAGTTACAGCTCCCGGCCCCGCCTCTTCAACTGGCCGCTACCCGATCACTCTTCCCGCTCCGTGAGCTATATCATGCCTCTTCTTAAAGCTATGTATGAACCCTGCCTCCACTACATCACTACCCAGGCTATTCTACTTCCTGACAACTCTGTGGCTGAAGAAATACTTCCTAACATCCCTGTGATTTATCTGAGTCTTCAACTTCCAACTGTGGCCCTTGTTGCTGTGTCCCATCTCTGGAACATCCTGTCTCTGTCCACCTTGTGTGTGTGTGTGTATATGCTCACCTAACTGTGGTTGCAGGGATCGATTCATAGCTCCTGGCCCCTATGCTCCTGGTTACTGTGTTATTGTAATTTATTCCGTATATATAAGCAATCACAGTACCTACTTACTGTTAGGTGAACAAGGGCACCAACCGGCCGGGAATCGAATCATGGACACTTAATATGCGAGACGAGATCGCTACCATCCAAGCCACGGAGTGGGTTATGGTGTCCAGGTGTCAACTTCATCAGAAGAAATCTGGAAAAGACAAATTGTCTAACGTAGTTTTTAGTTCTCTCCCCTGTCATGTGACGACCTACTCGTCTGGAATTTAGATTACTGGCTCGAGGCCTTCCCCTGGCTTCCCAGCCATACACCAGAAATTAACTAATAATCACATCAAATAATCCATGCTTATTCGAGAAGTATATTATTACAATCAAAAAGAAGTGCTAAGCCACAAGGGCTATACAGCACTGCAGGGCAGGAAGGAAGCGAGGGCATCAGGTGGCAAAAGGGAGAGAGATGATTAGTAGGTTACAGAAATCAGTGGGGTAGTGGATAGTACAGGGGTAGAGGGTAGCAAGAGTGTGAGGTAGAAAGGGCTGAGGGGAGTGCAAAAGGTATCATCATTAAAGTTTGTGGAGTAAATCAACTGTTGTCAAAAAGTCAATGAGAGAGTCAGAATTAAAGGTGGGTCCATCAGCAAGAAGGGAAGGTAAAGAGAGAGCAGCAGAGTGGAGACGATGTTGGAGGTAAATTCTGCGTGCTCGTTGATAGAGAGGGCAGTCTAACAGAATGTGGCTGACTGATACTGGAACTTGACAATTCTCACAGAGAGGAACTGGGTGCCTCTCCATGAGATACCCATAAGTAAGACAAGTGTGGCCGATGCAAAGACAGGAGAGAGTAGTCTCCCAACCTCGACACCGGTGACAAAAAGACGGCCAGTAACCTATACTCGGTTTAATAGAATGAAGTTTGGTACTGAGCAGATCAGACCAAAGTCATTGCCAATGGGTGTGAAGGGGGGTAGCTATTACAGCAAAATAGTCCATAAATGGAACACCTCTATATGAAACTGGAAGGTCATGCACAGCTGACCGTGCAGCAGTGTCTGCCTGTTCATTGCCCTGTATGTCAATATGACCAGGGACCCAACAAAAAACTATCTTTATGCTTGCTAGAGATATAACACAGCCAAAGTTGGATACGGAGAACGAGGGGGTGAGGTGTATCAAATTTTCGTATAGCCTGTAAAGCACTAAGGGAGTCTGAACAACCACAAATGATGACACAGGCATAAATGCAATACAGATAAGTGCTGCAAGAATGGCATACAATTCAGCAGTAAAAATACTAGCCGAGGATAGCAAATGCCCTCCCATGACACTGTCCAGAAACACTGTTGCGAATCTGATGCCGTCAGAAGACTTAGAGCCATCTGTGCACACTGTGATAGCATGAGAATGAGAGAGGAAAAGCGGGAATGAGAGAAAAAGAAAGTGGGAAGCAACCGTAGGCAGTTGGGCTTTCATGCAAGGGAGTGAGAAAGAACAGACTCAAACAGCTGGAACTTTCCAGGGGGGGGCAGAGAAAAGTGAGATGCTACATGAACATAGAAAGGTGGTAACTGAAGGGAAGACAAGAGTGAATGTAGGTGAAGAGAAAAGAAATGGAGCAAACAGGGGTGACGAACAAATAAAGAATGTCTACTAACATTGATGACTATTCTATACATGGAAGGATTGCGATCATGAGAGTGAACACAGTAGCGAAGGCAATGGGCATCACGGCGATCAGACAAGGATGGAATATTCGCTTCTGCATAGAGGCTCTCAACAGGGGAAGAGCAGAAAGCACCAAGGCATAAATGTAATCCCTGGTGATGGATGGGATTAAGGCTAGAGAGAATAGTAGGAGAGGCCGCTGAATAGATCTGGTCATCATAATCAAGTTTCGATAAAATGAGGGCTGAATGTAGGCAAAGGAGAGCTTGACGATCAGCTCCCCATGAAAGATGAGCAAGAGTTTTAAGAAGGTTCAGCCGGCTGTGACAAGTTGCCTCCAGAGGGGTAATATAAGGTTTCCAGGATAACCTAGTCAAAGAGAAGGCCTAGAAACCTGACCATATCGCATTCAGGGATACGTGTGCCATAGAGGTACAAAGGATGATCAGAGATGACAGAGTGTTTAGTGAAAGTAATTTGGCATTTGAGTACTGGAAAATTTAAACCCATGTGCGGTGGCTCAATTGGAAACACGGTTGACCGGATACTGGAGAGAAACTGAAATGAGGTGACAGTCAGCGCCTGCACAAGCAATAGCAAAGTCAACAACATAGAGTGATGACCAAATATTGGATGGAAGAAGAGAGGCCAAATCATTTATAGCAAGGAGAAAAAGTGTTGTGCTCAGAATACATCCCTGGGGGACACCTTCAGCTTGGACAAAGTCCAGGAGAGCATATTATCAACCCGAACACGGAAATGTCTGTCAGTTAAGAAGTTCTTAAGGAAGGATGGTAGATTGCCTCAGAGGCCTAAGGAGTGGGCTTGGGCCAAAATATTATACCTCCAAGTTGTGTCATATGCCTTCTCAAGGTCAAAAAATATGGCAATAACTGAGTGGTTGTTTGCAAATGCATAACGAACATGCGAATCCAAATGCAGTAAGGGGTCTATGGTAGAATGGCCCTTGCGAAAGCCATATTGACTAATGGAGAGACTGCTGTGTGTCTCTAAATACGACATTAAACGTCCATCACCTTGCAAACTGCACTTGTAAGAGCAATGGGACTGTAGTGGGAGGCATCATGTCCCATAGTACCTGGTTTGTGGAAAGGGAGAACAATGGCAGATTTCCACAGCTTGGGAAGAACTCCTTGTGACCAAATAAGATTGAAGAGGAGTAGGAAGACTTCAAGGGCTGACTGATGTAAATGTTGTAACATCCGAATATGAATGTCATCTGGCCCAGTTGCTGATGATCAGCAAGTTGAGAGTGTCGCCTTCAGCTCCTGAAATGTAAAAGGCACATTATAAGATTCTTCTTTGAGAGAAGAAAAGTCTAAGGGCACTAACTCTCTGGCAGACTTTGAGGAAAGAAATGAGGGTCATAGATGTAGCCACTGAGAAATACGGACCAGATGATTACCAATTTCAATGGCAACATCAAGAGGGTTTGCTATATCAACACTGGCAACCCACAGAACAGGAGCCGGGTCAGGAGAGTATTTACCACTCAGTTTCCATACTTTTTTCCAGACTGCACTCACAGAGGAAGCAAAGGTGATGGTGGAAACATAATCTCACCAGCAAGTGTGTTTAGCGTCATGGATGACACGGCGAGTGACTGCACGCTACTGCTTAAAATCAAGAACTCTCAGTGGTTCTATTGTACTGGTACCTGCCCCACACAGCGTGTTTCAAACGTACTGCATGAGCACAAGCAGAAGACCACCAAGGCACGCACTTCTTAGAATGCCTGCCCGAGGTTTGGGGTATAGATTAAGAAGCTGCAGTTAAAACTTAGGACAAGAGGAGGTGTAAAAGCTCATCAATGGAGGATGAAGAAGGGACCTCACTAAAAGCAGTTAGTTGCGAGTAAAGGTCCCAATTTGCTTGATCAAACTGCCAGCATGGGCTATGAAGCGGTGGTGAATATGAAGGAGAAATAAGAATGATTGGAAAGTGATAGCTATCACGTAAGTCCGGGAAAACAGACCAGGTGAAATCTAGTGCGGTGGAGGAAGAGCAGACCAAGAGATCGACGCAAGAGAGAGTATGAGTACGAGGATCAAAATGGGTGGGAGTACCAGTATTTAAAACATGGAGGGGGAGAGAAGCAAGAAAAGCCTCCAACTGACTGCCACGGGAATCACAGTGAGAAACCCAGAGGAAATGATGGGCATTAAAATCGCCAAGTAACAGAAGTGGTGGTGGTGATAAAGACAAGAAAGGTAACATCTGGGATAGATAATGCCCGAGAAGGAGATACAAAGAACATATTGTATACCACTTATGCAAATGGATATGGGCTGCAGTGTAATGCAGCAAAGTACGAACAAATAGTTGATGGTACGGAATATCATTGTGTAGAAGAAGGGCATTTTCATTAAAGGTCCCATCAGAAAAAGGATCCAAAGAATACAGTAAATTATAGACTGAAATAAGATAGATAACAGTGGAGTGTAATTTTGGTTCTTGTAAGCAAACACCAACAGGGAAAAACCGGGAAAGCAACATCTGAAGCTCACCTCGATTACCCAAAGCCACGGATATTCCACTGTAAATAGGCCATGATTGTTAACGATAAAGATACCAAAAATCCGCAGGTAAGGGTACCTACGGACTAGAGGGGTTTGAAAAGTCCACATGTGGAGGCAGTGGAAAACATTCAAGTATCGAAGGAACGGAGTGCCGTGAAGAAGGGAGTTGCACAGATGGAGGAGAGGAAAGAGAAGGAACATGGGGCGGATCAGTGTCCATTGATGGTTTAGTCTCTGCAAAATATTCTAAGATAGTTTCAAGTGTTCTGGAATTCAAAGATGTTGCATGGGAGACAATACTGGAGATGGAAGGAGGACGGTGAGTAAAGATTGGGACAGTAATGGACTGTACCAAAGTAGGGGGGGACGAAAGGGTGGAGGGAACTGGAGAAGAAGTGTGGGAGGGGATAGAAGAGGAAGAAACTTGGGAGGGGGCAGGGGAAGAAGGCACAGCACGAGAAGGAGGGTGAACCTCCACACTTGTAACAGAGCCTGCGAGGGGGGAAGAACCATATACAGAGATTGGAAAGGTAAAATGTGGAGGTGGAAGAAGGGAAGGGGATTTGAGCAATGGGGATTTTTTTGGACTTCTGAGAAGTAGAGGGGTGATTGGGAGGAGGTGTCGTACAAGGTCTTGTCGATACCGGGGCTTGTGAGGGAGAACACGAAGCTGTGAGAACAAACAGAGGTGTTGAAGTAGGGACTTCTGAGCCCAGGAGAGCAAAAGAATTAGAGACAGGAGTGACTATGGAAGGGGTAACCACAGAGGAGGTTGCAGAAGACAAGACCCCAGAAGTGGGGGGACATTTAGAAACATGAGAATAAGAAATATGGGGTAGTCTCCCTTGGAGGCGTAGATGAGAAACTGCCATAGCATAAGGGAGACCTTCTGCCTTTTTGAGGCAATGGATTTCTCACTCATTTAAGTAGACCTGGCAATGGTGAGAGTAAGAAGGGTGAGCCTCATGACAATTAAGGCAAGAAGGAGGTCGACTACAAGATGTATTAGAATGGTCATCAGCACCACAGACTTGGCATTCAGCTATAGATCTGCAATATTTTGCTGGGTGACCAAATCGCCAGTAATTTCTACACTGTTGCGGTGTAGGGATCACCTTTCAAACCTGTAACCAATGACCTGCTACATAAACAAAGGATGGGAGTTCATGGCTGTCAAAAGTTAATCGAGCCACATTTCAAGGGTATTGTCTCTGCCCGTGGGCAGGAAGGACATAAGTGTCTACTTTGAGGATTGGGAGATCTTGGAGTTCCAACTGCCACATCTCTGGAAATTCTGTTGGACTATGGTATGGAGCAGAATGACAGTACTACTACAAGAATTAAGGGAATGATGTTTTTCGACAGTGGCAGGAATAGTATCGATATGTGAAAGAAGGTAAAGATCATGAGCCTGGGTAGCATTCTGGACAGTAATGATGCATGTACCACTCTTGAGAGCATGAAAGGAAATATCTCTACCAACATGGCATAGGAGCACCTTGCCAATACTATGGTCAGAAAGATAGGCAATAGAGGAAGTCGGTTGTAAAGAATTTAGTCCATTGTGCATTCTAAAACTGAGCATGGAAAGGGAGTGCATGGCATGTTGGTCCTTTCTGAGTAGAACGAGGTGGCGGCAAAGTATCAGCATCAGGCAATTGACGTTGGCGTTTAGGAGTTGGACCGGAGTTTGTCCAACATGGGACGGGCTGGCAATTCGAAAATTGCCGCACCATAGAGGGAGAGGCCAGAAGCATAGTCAAAGGAGAGCAGAGGTCAGACAAATCGATGGAGTCAGTTGAAACCATGGCACCTGAAGCAGGTGATGAAACAGAACCAGCAAGAGGTACAGGGGCATCAGGAGTGGTCAAAAAACGAGGCAGGGTCAGAATGGGGTGCAGTATCAACGGGGGAATGGGGAGGAATAGCTCCTAGGAGGAATGAAAGGGCCAGAAATCTCCCTCCATGCCCAGGAGGACCTCAGCACCACAAGTAGTGCAGATGCAGCATGGTACTCATGCCATACCCTACCCTTCATGCAAGTAAACCAGCAATCCGGGATAGCAACCTCACATCTGCTGAGGTCCTCAGTGGACAAAAGAGAGGGTGGCCAAATATCTGCCACAAAGCATACCTCCTTTGGCCATCACCCCCTGAATCTGAAAGGCGGCCTCCAGAGATACACCTGTTGCCCGAAAGGCACCCAAAGCCACCCCTCCGGGAGACAGGAGAGGGCTCGGGACATCCCCAGGCGATCCAGATTCCACGGTAAACTACGCCACCGCCAAGAACCTCAATGGAATGGGATGGACCCCAGTACCTTTCCCCCTACGCAGGAACTAGCGTGCCTGTGGGAAGAATCCCAAAAGCCAAAAAGAGAAAGGGAATAAGGGAGGGATGGGGAGGAGGAGGAAAGGAAAAAGGGAGGATAGGATAGGGAAGGGGGATTGGGGGGGGGTAATTAGGTTCAGTCTGAGGAAGAAGACCAACAGGTCTAATTCCTCAGACCAAGAGCTTCTTCACCACTCCAAGGAGACAGGATAAAACTCAACATTTTTTAAATGAAATTCATTGCAAATCAGTATCCACATGATAAATCCTGACACAGAAAAAAATCCACAGAATTGTATCTCCATTAAACAAACTGTTTTATGCAATGTGTATGGTATGGTGTATTCAGTTTAGTGTACTGTAAACAGTTTAGTGTACACAGTAAAGTAGAAAATGTTATCTGCACTGAGTGCTTTATTGCATTCTGGATATCATGTTTCTGTACTAGATTTATAGTGCATAGGATGTAAGTTGAAGTGTAGTAGTAGTAGTTACTAGTTGGCAAAGGCACTTGTCAATAAATACTTGGCCTGTCTGAGGTGTACTCATCTATTTGTGGTTGCAGGGGCCATAGCATGTGTGTGTGTGTGTGTGTGTGTGTGTGTGTGTGTGTGTGTGTGTGTGTGTGTGTTGTGTGTGTTGTGTGTGTGTGTGTGTGTGTGTGTGTGTGTGTGTGTGTGTAAAATATATACAGTGGACCCCGGCATATGATGGCATCGGCATACGTTAAATCCGGCATACGATACATTTTAACAAAAATTTGCCTCGCCACATGTTAAAAAACCTGCCACACGTGATTCGTCCGGGACGCATCCCACGTGTGTCCTCAGCTGCCCCGTGAGTGCCAGTGTTTACAAGTCAGCCAGTGCAGTCGCATCTAAGCACACATTCGGTACATTCCATATTATCACAGTGTTTTGGTGCTCGTTTCTGCAAAATAAGTCACCATGGGCCCCAAGAAAGCTTCTAGTGCCAACCCTGTGGAAAAAGGGTGCTAATTACTATGGAAATGAAGAAAGAGATACTTGCAAAGTACGAAAGTGGAGTGCGTGTGTCGGAGCCAGCCAGGTTGTATACCAAACCCCAATCAACCATCGCTACTATAGTGACCAATAAAACGGCAATCAAGGAAGTTGTTCTTGCAAAAGGTGCATGTCTGTTTTCAAAACAGAGATCACAAGTGTTAGAAGATGTTGAGAGACTGTTATTGGTGTGGATAAATGAAAAACAGATAGCAGGAGATAGCATTTCTCAAGCAATCATAAGTGAAAAGGCTAGGAAGTTGCATGAGGATTTAATTGAAAAAATGCCTGCAACTAGTGGTAATGTGAGTGAATTTAAGGCCAGCAAAGGTTGGTTTGAAAGATTTAAGAATCGTAGTGGCATGGTGAGGCTGCCAGTTCGGACCAAAAAGCAGC